TAAGTTAGTTTCCACGGACAGAACCTTCTTGACTCAGGTAAAGTTACCCTTGAGACTTGTCTCCTTAACTTGACAAGTACAAGACTGTGGGTGAGCTTGAGTACCGTGACACTAAGTGAATGTAAGTTTGGTGTGTGTTGGAGGACGTGAGGAGAGGTTACTGAGGTTGTGTTGGGGACGTGAGGAGAGGTTACTGAGGTTGTGTTAGGGACGTGAGGAGAGGTTACTGAGGTTGTGTTAGGGACGTGAGGAGAGGTTACTAAGTTGTGGGGGACGTGAGGAGAGGTTACTGAGGTTGTGTTAGGGACGTGAGGAGAGGTTACTGAGGTTGTGTTGGGGGACGTGAGGAGAGGTTACTGAGGCTGTGTTAGGGACGCGAGGATAGGTTACTGAGGTTGTGTTAGGGACGTGAGGAGAGGTTACTGAGGTTGTGTTGGGGAACGTGAGGAGAGGTTACTTAGGATGTGAGGGGGGACGTGAGGAGAGGTTACTGAGGTTGTGTTGGGGACCTGAGGAGAGGTTACTGAGGTTGTGTTGGAGGACGTGAGGAGAGGTTACTGAGGTTGTGTTGGGGACGTGAGGAGAGGTTACTGAGGTTGTGTTAGGGACGTGAGGAGAGGTTGCTGAGGTTGTGTTGGGGACGTGAGGAGAGGTTACTGAGGTTGTGTTGGAGGACATGAGGAGAGGTTACTGAGGTTGTGTTAGGGACGTGAGGAGAGGTTACTGAGGTTATGTTGGGGACGCGAGGAGAGGTTACTGAGGTTGTGTTTGGGACGTGAGGAGAGGTTACTGAGGTTGTGTTGGGGACGTGAGGAGAGGTTACTGAGTTGTGGGGGACGTGAGGAGAGGTTACTGAGGTTGTGTTAGGGACGTGAGGAGAGGTTACTGAGGTTGTGTTAGGGACGTGAGGAGAGGTTACTGAGGTTGTGTTGGGGACGTGAGGAGAGGTTACTGAGGTTGTGTTAGGGACGTGAGGAGAGGTTGCTGAGGTTGTGTTGGAGGACGTGAGGAGAGGTACTGAGGTTGTGTTGGAGGACTGAGGAGAGGTTACTGAGGTTGTGTTAGGGACGTGAGGAGAGGTTACTGAGGTTATGTTGGGGACGCGAGGAGAGGTTACTGAGGTTGTGTTTGGGACGTGAGGAGAGGTTACTGAGGTTGTGTTGGGGACGTGAGGAGAGGTTACTGAGTGTGGGGGACGTGAGGAGAAGTTACTGAGGTTGTGTTAGGGACGTGAGGAGAGGTTACTGAGGTTGTGTTAGGGACGTAGAGGAGAGGTTACTGAGGTTGTGTTGGGGACGTGAGGAGAGGTTACTGAGGTTGTGTTGGGGGACGTGAAGTGAGGTACTGAGGTTGTGTTGGGGGACGTGAGGAGAGGTTACTGAGGTTGTGTTGGGGGACGTGAGGAGAGGTTACTGAGGTTGTGTTGGGACGTGAGTAGAGGTTACTGAGGTTGTGTTAGGGACGTGAGGAGAGGTTACTGAGTTGTGGGGGACGTGAGGAGAGGTTACTGAGGTTGTGTTAGGGACGTGAGGAGAGGTTACTGAGGTTGTGTTAGGGACGTGAGGAGAGGTTACTGAGGTTGTGTTGGAGACGTGAGGAGAGGTTACTGAGGTTGTGTTGGGGGACGTGAGGAGAGGTTCCTGAAGTTGTGTTGGGGGACGTGAGAAGAGATGACTGAGGTTGTGTTGGGGACGTGAGGAGAGGTTACTGAGGTTGCGCTGGGGACGTGAGGAGAGGTTACTGAGGTTGTGTTGGGGACGTGAGGAGAGGTTACTGAGTTGTGGGGGAAATGAGGAGAGGTTACTGAGGTTGTGTTAGGGACGTGAGGAGAGGTTACTGAGGTTGTGTTGGGGGACGTGAGAAGAGATGACTGAGGTTGTGTTGGGGACGTGAGGAGAGGTTACTGAGTTGTGGGGGACGTGAGGAGAGGTTACTGAGGTTGTGTTGGGGACGTGAGGAGAGGTTACTGAGGTTGTGTTAGGGACGTGAGGAGAGGTTACTGAGGTTGTGTTGGGGGACGTGAGGAAGAGATGACTGAGGTTGTGTTGGGGACGTGAGGAGAGGTTACTGAGGTTGTGTTGGGGGACGTGAAAAGAGATGACTGAGGTTGTGTTGGGGGACGTGAGGAGAGGTTACTGAGGTTGCGCTGGGGACGTGAGGAGAGGTTACTGAGGTTGTGTTGGGGACGTGAGGAGAGGTTACTGAGTTGTGGGGGAAATGAGGAGAGGTTACTGAGGTTGTGTTAGGACGTGAGGAGAGGTTACTGAGGTTGTGTTAGGGGGACGTGAGAGAGATGACTGAGGTTGTGTTGGGGACGTGAGGAGAGGTTACTGAGGTTGCGTTGGGGACGTGAGGAGAGGTTACTGAGGTTGTGTTGGGGACGTGAGAAGAGGTTACTGAGGTTATGTGGGGGCCTTAGGAGAGGTTACTGAGTTGTTGGGGACGTGAGGAGAGGTTACTGAGGTTGTGTTATGACGTGATGAGAGGTTACTGAGTTGTTGGGGACGTGAGGAGAGGTTACTGAGGTTGTGTTGAGGACGTGAGGAGAGGTTACTGAGGTTGTGTTGGGGACGTGAGGAGAGGTTACTGAGGTTGTGTTAGGGACGTGAGGAGAGGTTACTGAGATTGTGTTGGGGGACGTGAGGAGAGGTTACTGAGGTTGTGTTAAGGGCGTGAGGAGAGGTTAGGACGTGAGGAGAGGTTACTGAGGTTGTGTTGGGGGACGTGAGGAGAGGTTACTGAGGTTGTGTTGGGGGACTTGAGGAGAGATTACTGAGGTTGTGTTGGGACGCGAGGAGACGTTACTGAGGTTTTGTTGGGGGACGTAAGGAGAGGTTACTGAGGTTGTGTTGGAGGATGTGAGGAGAGGTTACTGAGGTTGTGTTGGGGACGTGTGGAGAGGTCACTGAGGATGTGTTGAGGACGTGAGGAGAGGTTACTGAGGTTGTGTTGGGACGTGAGGAGAGGTTACTGAGGTTGTGTTAGGGACGTGAGGAGAGGTTACTGAGGATGCGTTGAGGATGTGAGGAGAGGTTGGGACGTGAGGAGAGGTTACTGAGGTTGTGTTGGGGACGTGAGGAGAGGTTACTGAGGTTGTGCTGGGGGACGTGAGGAGAGGTTACTGAGGTTGTTTGGGGGAACGTGAGGAGAGGTTACTGAGGTTGTGTTGGGGGACGTGAGGAGAGGTTACTGAGGTTGTTGGGGACGTGAGGAGAGGTTAGTGAGGTTATTGGGGAGGTGGAGAGATTAATGTGAGGTTGTGAAACTTTAATTGAAGAAGGTTTTATGATTAAAATATTTTAGTTGAGTCTAATTATGAGGTTGTGAGGTTATAGCGTAAATCGTGATGGTAAGACATTGATTATGAGGTTGATGGTGTAAATCATGACTGTAAGATTGTGAGGTTGATGGTGGCTCCGTTGAAGGTTCAACACACACACACACACACACACACACACACCACACACACACACACACACACACACACACACACACACACACACAAACACACATAGAATTCACACAGAATTCTTCCTTCGTAACCATGCGTGTTGTAAGAGGCGACTAAAATGCCGGGAGCAAGGGGCTAGTAACCCCTTCTCCTGTATATATTACTAAATGTAAAAGGAGAAACTTTGTTTTTCCTTTTGGGCCACCCCGCCTCGGTGGGATACGGCCGGTGTGTTGAAAGATATATATGTATATATATATATATATATTTATATATATATATATAATATATATATTTTATATATATATATATATATATATATTATATATATACCATAAATAATATTCGTATTCTTACTGACTGGAGAAATGTGGGTGTGTGAGTGAGAAAGAGTGGCGGGTGAGAGCAGAAAGGTGAGATGAGAGAGAATAAATCACAAGTTTTCTCACCCGAGACCAAGTTGATGTATTCCTCAAGCAACTTATCACACCAGAAAATAGTGGTACATGGTATTACATGGTTGTACTTAGTAGTACATGGTGATACATGGTTGTACATGGTGGTACATGGTGGTACATGGTGGTACATGGTGGTACATGGTGATACATGGTTGTACATGGTGGTACATGGTGGTACATGGTGATACATGGTTGTACATGGTGGTACATGGTGGTACATGGTGGTACATGGTGGTACATGGTGGTACATGGTGGTACATGGTATTACATGGTTGTACTTAGTAGTACATGGTGATACATGGTTGTACATGGTGGTACATGGTGGTACATGGTGGTACATGGTATTACATGGTTGTTCTTAGTACATGGTGATACATGGTTGTACATGGTGGTACATGGTTGTACATGGTGGTACATGGTTATACATGATGTTACATGGTTGTACTTAGTAGTACATGGTGATACATGGTTGTACATGGTGGTACATGGTTGTACATGGTGGTACATGGTGGTACATGGTTATACATGATGTTACATGGTTGTACTTAGTAGTACATGGTGATACATGGTTGTACATGGTGATACATGGTTGTACATGGTGGTACATGATATTACATTGATGTTCATAGTGGTACATGGTTGTACCATGTTATATATATATATGTATATTATATATATATATATATATATATATATATATATATATATATATATATATATATATATATATATATATATATATATATATATATTGCAATAAGATCACAGTAAACAGGTGATTTCAGAATATGCAAAACAACCACTTCTGAAAGAATAGAGAAATTCCAAGCGCTTTCGTGACTAATGTGAGTAGTCACGAAAGCGCTTGGAATTTCTCTATTCTTTCAGAGTGGTTTGTTTTGCATATCTGAAATCACTTTTACTGTGATCTGATTGCATATATATAGCATATATATATATTATTATATACATATATATATATATATATATATATATATATATATATATATATATATATATATATATATATATATATATATATATATATACCTCGAAATACGGATGAATGAGATTATTGACTTTTGTTACAGAAGTGTCATTGGCTGAAAGTAGTCAATATCCAGAATATCAGAGACAGTTTACAATTTCTATAGACGCGTTTTCGGTCGAGTGAGTGAAAAATATTTGACTTGCGTGAAGTGAAAGTCACAGGAAAAATATCCTTCAACACAAAAAAAAGTTTTCCCCCTGAGATGGGAAGAGAAATAAAAGTTGAATGAGTGTCTTGCGTAAAGCCGTGAAGTAAACAATGGCTTGGTTAGACGAGTGTGTGTTTAGTGGAAACATGGCGAGTGACGGTGTGTAGCCAAGACTCTGGAAACCTCAAGACGTGTACAACACTTCGACAGTATGTTTGGGCGTGCACAGTGGGCGGCAGTGACAGTGGGCGTGGTGTTGCTCGCCCACCTGCCCCTCACCACACAGCTCCCAGATGTCATCACGATAGGTAAGTACAGCAGTCTTGTATCCTGATCAGGATTTCAGTGTGAGTTATTTCCGTGTAGGAAAACAGCAGCTTAAAGGAACAGTGTTGATTGAATTACCGACGATATGTTATATAACTAATGCGAAATTTTATTGTGGCAACGTTTCGCTCTCCAGGAGCTTCATCAAGTATTAGTTGCACGTGTGTCCTTTTACTTAACTTGAGGAAATACCAAAGTACTCACTTACAAACATTTTTACTGAAGACGTTTTGGTTCTTGAAGGATCTTGATTACTTTAAATACATGTGTTTGAAGTAATCAAGGTCTCAGGATAGAAAATCCTTCGTGTTTACTTCGATCAAGGTATTTCCTTGTTTTAAATATTGGTGAGCGTGTGAAGGGTGCGTGTGTAGTCACATTTCGCTCAAGGAAAGCTTCATTAAGTCTACACAAATATCCCACTCATAGCAGAATGAAACTTATGACAACGTTTCGGTCCGACTTGGGTAATTAACTGTTAACTAGTTAATTGTCCAAGTCGGACCGAAACGTTGCCAAAAGTTTCATTCTCCTATGTGCGGGATATTTGTGTATTGTTCCAGTCACGGTATTGTACCATTATATTCTTGAAAGTTAAGACACATGTGCAACATCTGGATATCTTTATTGTAGACGTTTCGCCATCCAGTGGCTTTATCAATACAGATTCTAGGACATAATAGGAAGACAGTAGAACTATATACAAAAGATGAGGTAATCAGTCCCTCAGCCTTGGAGTTAGTGTTCACAGCATCGTGGTGGAGGAGAATCTGGAGCAAAGGCAAGAAGACTGGCGGTTATATAGGGTCAGTGGATAGGGACGTGTAGCAGACGGGGGCCCATGTCACGGGTAGGCGGGATTCCCCAGTGGAAGTAGGTCCTCCCCAAGAGATGGGTTAGTTGCAGCAGCCGTGAAGAAGGTCTGTAGATGTCCTCTGAACCAAGATTCCATGATGTTGCAGAGTCTGACAAGTTGTGCAAGAAAGGTATAAAATACCGACAATATGAAAGTTAAGACACATGTACAACATCTGGATATCTTTATTGTAGACGTTTCTTCACGGCTGCTGCAACTAACCCATCTCTTTGGGAAGGACCTACTTCCACTGGGGATTCCCGCCTACCAGTGACTATGCCCTCGTCTGCTACACGTCCCTATCCACTGACGCCTATATAACCGCCAGTCTTCTTGCCTTTGCTCCAGATTCTCCTCCACCACGATGCTGTGAACACTAACTCCAAGACTGAGGGACTGATTACCTCATCTTTTGTATATAGTTCTACTGTCTTCCTATTATGTCCTAGAATCTGTATTGATAAAGCCACTGGATGGCGAAACGTCTACAATAAAGATATCCAGATGTTGCACATGTGTCTTAACTTTCATATTGTCGGTATTTTATACCTTTCTTGCACATTATATTCTTCACTAATCCTATTTGATCGAAACGTTGTCTCAGTCAGAATTACTCACCGACAGAAACTGATATCGAAAATATTAAGTTACTCACATGATAATTTAAGAAAAACTTCAGTTTAATCTGAATAAAGGCTGTACACACAGCAAGTTTTACTTTCTTAGGCTACACAGTTATATTGCTAGAATAGTACAAGTAAAACTGGTCTCTATACTTCAAAAAAAAAAAAACTCTCACATAAGAAATGAAACTAATGAGTTTTCGGTCTGACTTTTTATAATTTAAAATTAGTCTCAGTTTCTCCTGGTTTGGGGTAGAGATGTATCGGATGTGAAAATTTAGATATCCGCGGATGCGGATGAGGACTTATGCGGATGGGATCTATTTATTTAAAAATGCGGATGTGGATGCATATGCGGATATCTGTTGACAGCAAAATGCGGATGTGGATGCATATGCGGATATCTGTTTACAGCAAAATGCGGATGTGGATGCGGATATAAGAAATTGTGCGGATGTTCTGCGGGGTACTTTAGACCTCGTTAGGTCAGTTAATACAATGGTCGTAGTACATGTAAGAAAACCTTATGAAATACTCAGTGTTTCTTGGACACTATATGTACCAGTACTGTATATTAACATTTGCTGTTAGAAAAATAATATTGATATTTATACATCATTGTTAATAAAAAAACGAATTTTATCTGTACTACAATACTGCTGCTGATGTATACACAATGATCATGTCTCTTCTCTCTCGCTCTGCTGGGTAACACAGACCCTAAAATGTTTGCTGGAAAAAGCAATGATTTCTTTATGAATGTCCTTCACTCTCAGTCTTCTAACTACATCGTGTTCATCGGTGTCATAAAGATGCCAGGGTTTGAGAAACGTCTACGCCCTTTGGGATCTCTGTATTTCCGTAATAACAAATTATCCGGTTCCCAGGTGTTTCAGCCTTCTCCGTCACGTTGCCAACATAGTGCCATGTTTTACAACCCCCAAATTTAATAAAATGGTAGTCATCCTGTTCTATGCTCTATACTGCAGTTTCTTCATCCTGGGACCTCAGTTTGCTCATCATCAAGCATATCCACATATAGCTCATCCATGTATGAAAAGGAGCTGCTAGAATTGTCAAGGACGGGATCTCTTTGGGCACCGGTCTTTGGCCGTGTGCCTTGTGCTGCGGGTCTTGGTCTTACTGCTGATGAGGTGCTATTTCCTTCTAGAACACTGATACTTCTTCCTGCTGGTGCCTTAAGTGGCTTACACCCATAAGCTGTTTCCCTTGCGCTAGTTTCCCTTTTTTATATAATCCAGAAAAATGAGGCTAACCGACCTCCAGAAGCCACTTAACTTTCTCGTTTATATACAGCCATAATTTTTAATGGGGGTGGACCGGTAAGTCAGTGGAAGGCCTCGGTCAGATGACCAAAAGTTCCAGTGGTGGGTCATCATATGACTAAGACCGGCGTCAGGAAAAACTTGTCCAGTTTCTTGACAAACCTTATTTAACCTAACCCTCTGGTTCATTTCTCATTTTCTTCAGGGCACGTTCATGGTCGGGAGGGTATATGCCACAAACTCTGAATCCAGATGCCGCCACAGGCTCCCATTTATCCATTTGCTGCATGAGAGTCAGAAATAGTTTTGGTAGTGACCATTTATGGAAATATGTTACATACTTGCTCTTCACCTTCCTTCCAGTCAGTCAATACCTTTCTCCAGTCATATTTAAGAGGGTCGTACACGGGAACATCCAAGGGATACAGGATATACGTTGGGTTGGGTGGAAGAAAAAAACATTCTGCTGATATTCTGCTCTCACAGTTCCAGAACTTTATGATTAACGTCAGAGGCTAGGTTCAGCTCCGTGGAGCTAAACTCTTCTCTAGGCTATGGGACTGACCACCTCAAATACTTTTTTCTCCAAAGTTGATGAACTGATTACATCATCTTTATTGCATTACTACTGCTGTCTTTGTATTTGACTGAAGAAGCCTACTGTGTAGGCGAAACGTTTCGTCAATGAAGATACCCAACTGTTGCACATGTGTCTTAATCTTCAACTTGTCGGTATTTTATACCATTTTCAACACCATCCATTTTCTAATAGTCTTGAAGTCTTTCACCCTTGTAAACAACATACGGATCCAGGACTTGACTAGCAGAAGATGCATCATACATGATGGACTTCGAACTTTTGATAGTGTTCATTAAACTTTCAGTATGGTCTTCACCTCTCCTGAGGAGCTACAACTTGCCTCTTGGGTCGTCAGTTAGATTGGTTTCTTCGTGGGTGATGATCGTGCCGCCTGGAGGTACACCATCAATTTTCTGGTCAAGGCGATCGACGTAAGAAGAAACATTGGTTTCTATAACAGTTACACACTTTCGTGAGGTGTTTTGGCTGGTGCAAGTTGAGAGCAAATTTTCACATCTCTTCGGGAATCGACGCTTTTAATAAATGTCTGGAAGACTGTCGACAAACAGGTATAACTCTATGAGTGTGCTCCAGGTAATGTTTGACAGAATTTCTCACATCAGTAACATTGAAAACCATTCTAAAATCACCTAGAAAAGCTTCATTTAGCGCCTTTGCATTTTTTTTCTTTGTCATTTCGAAAGAGCTCTGGTTTTCCTTCCAGTTTTTCCAGTAACTTGTCTTAGGTATCTTGTTTCACTGCATAACTTGTGACATGTATCTTGACAATGCTATCAGGGCATTAACTATGTCCTCTCCAGAGTACTGCATCCTTGTGGTTTTCCTCATAATCGTGCACTCACTCCTGTAGACAAGAGAAACAGTTCTGCATGATACACAGTGTGGTATATAAGAATTAATATTGAAGGTCTCGTATAAATACTATATATATTTGCTCAGATGTAATATGACATAAAACAGAGTTAATAATAGAAGTCTCAAATGTCCCTTCAGAAGACTGAGAAGTAGAAGGTGAGGTAATCAGTCCCTCAGCCTAGCAGCGGGTGTGTAGTACCAGTCTTGATGAATCTGTTGTCATGTGCAGAAACGTATATATGAACGAAAGAGGAAACCTGTTAGTCCGTATATTTCGAGGTCCTCTTCAGATACAAAGAGCTGAGCAGAAGAGATCAGGTATTTATGCGAACACTTATACACTCGTGTATACACGTAAAAGGAGGAACGGGCGGAAATTACGGGGATACATAAGAAAGGACGGACGAATAGAGATACGTACGCACGGACGGAGAAAAATCCAAGATGAAGCGAAAGCTTAGTGAGAATGAAGGTCGCTGAGCACCCAGGTGGTGGGAACCCAGCCAGAGTAATGTTATTATGGTAATGTGCTACTGCGGTCGATGGTAGACACTGCTCCCTGAACCTGTGCTGGTGATGGTGGTAAAAGGTGGTGAAAGTAGATTGTGGTGGTGGTAATGGGCGGTGAACGTAGACTGATGGTGGTAATGGGCGGTGAAAGTAGATTGTGGCGGTGGTAATGGGCGGTGAAAGTAGGTTGTGGTGGTAGTAATGGTTGGTGAAAGTAGATTGTGTTGGTGGTAATGGGCGGTGAAAGTAG